GTTTGTTTCTGTAAAGTGATATGAACATTTGAAAATGAAATAACTGACAAATGCGCGGCAAACTTTTTGTGCATGAATATATGTCTAAGATACAAGAATTTTTCAAAATCGCACTTGATTTGTCATATGACGTACATGTATTAACCTGTATATACTGTATACACATGTATTTGGCAATGCATGAATGACTAATCAAACATTGTTCTGCTCCAATATGTGTGTAAGTTTCATCTCACTTAGACTGTCATGTTAACAATTATGCAAATTAGCAAAGTGCCAGATATTATGTGTACCAAAATTTGTCTCCATTACAGTTCTTTATACAAGATATAGGAACAAACTCTTATTAACTAAGTTAGTGATTAGGATGTGCATCAAAACATTTTAGATCTTAAAAACACATTAATTTAAGCTAGCCGTTTTAAAAATCTCCTTTGTTGACTCACAGGAAAGAAACAAATAAAAAACTACTGTAAGTTTAACATGTCGTTTGGAGACAAGTTCAATGGGGGGACGAGGGGGATACCTAGTACAGGTTACAGAAAATATAAAAGGCATTTTACTATTTTTTACAGGAAATAAAATGAATTGATTACAGCTGACGAAAAGACCTCTTCAACGTGAAACTCAGAATGATAAAAACACTAATAGAAAACTTATGTGTATCTTTTTCTTATATGTGTTTCTTTTTCTAGACATAGTCAACTCTATACTTAGTCAGAAGTCAGTCATATAGTCAATGTCTTTTTCAACCAGTTTTGAATTTAGTAAATCGGTTGTTGTTAGAGGAACATAATAATAAAGTTCTTTATGTTCAAACAAGTAGCCTGTCGGCTGAGATAGCTCCGCTGTTAGCAATGCACATTTCAATTAAAGAACAGAAGATATCATTAGAAAATGAACAATATGAATAGTATCAAGCAATGGGACTTGCAGTTTTCAACAATAATCCAAAAATACCATTTTTTACCAAAAACTAGAAAAATATTCACCAAAATTAGAGAATTAAAGATATCATTACAAAATGAACAAATCTGAGAGAGGTCCACATGTAGTACCTATATATGTAATATCAAAGCAATTGCACTTGCGGTTTTCAACAAGAGGTTGAAAATATCACTTTTTACCAAAAATTTCAAGAATATTCACCAAAATTAGAGAATTGAAGATATCAATACAAAATGAACAAATCTGAGAGAGGTCCACATGTAGTACCTATATATGTAATATCAAAGCAATTGGACTTGCGGTTTTTAACAAGAAGTTGAAAATATTACTTTTTACCAAAAATGACAAAAATATTCACCAAAATTAGAGAATTCAAGATATCATCATGAAATGAACAAACCTGAGAGAGGTCTACCCAAGGTACATATACACCAAGTATCAAAGCATTCAGGCTTGTAGTTTTCAAGAAGAAGTCGAACAAGAAGCCTCTCGGCTGAGATAGCAACGCTGTTAGCAAGGCACATTTCAATTAAAGAACTGATATATCATTATAAAATGAACAATATGTATAAGTATGTATAGCAATCGGACTTGCTGTTTTCAACAAGAATTCAAAAATATCACTTTTTACCAAAAATATTCACCAAAATTAGGGAATTTAAGATATCATCACAAAATGAACAAATCTCAGAAAGGTCCGCATCTAGCATCAATATATGTAATATCAAAGCAATTGCACTTGCAGTTTTTAACAAGAAGTTGAAAATATCACTTTTTACCAAAAATGACAAAAATATTCACCAAAATTAGAGAATTGAAGATATCATCATGAAATGAACAAATCTGAGAGAGGTCTACCCAAGGTACATATACAACAAGTATCAAAGCATTTAGGCTTGTAGTTTTCAAGAAGAAGTCGAAAAAGTAAAACATTGACACGGACGACGGACAATCACTCATATGATAGATAAGCTCCGCTCGACAAAGTCGACAGCGGAGCTAAAAAATAAAACATTGACACGGACGCCGGACAATCACTCATATGATAAGCTCCGCTCGACAAACACGACAGCGGAGCTAATTAATGCATTATATTTTAATAATATTAGGGTTGAGTCCAGGGAACTTGTCATGGCATCGTATGGAGGAAGAAACAGACAATTAATCATGTTTAGTCGAAAACTTGAAAAATGCAGTAATGCTATACAATTAATTTCCATGAAAATTTACAGTAAAAGTTATAAAAAGCTGTGTCAATGGACTTTTTGAGCCAATTTGTCAAGAAAAAGAAAACAGGCATTGCAGAAAAGAATTTATGTTGAAGGCAAATGAGAAGAACAAAGATAATTGAGACAGCTGCAACTTCAAAGAAGAATTTCAAAAAATTCTTTACCACATTGACATAATTTTCTAATCGCTACAAATCAAAATTTGAAACAATCACATGGGTGTTTTTTTGTGACAGGTTTGTTTGCATGTTTTCAAGCTAGGGAATAGGGTCCAAAAATGAAAGTTTTAAGTCTTACATGATTATTGACACCAGTCAACAACTTATGAAATTATTTACAGAATAAATGTACATTGTTGTATGAAATATTTAAATGAGAATGAGAAAAATTATCTGAAAACTGCAATAATTGACATTTTTGGAACAATATCCAAAGGAATCAATGTTAGAATTATTTCACAAACAAACAAGTCATGCATGGCACAGTCCCTGTTAGTTATCAAATTTAAGATGTATAGTTTTGTTTATAGTAATATGGCTGGAATATAAACTGGAATACATGTCAGGAATATGATTATGATGATTATTTAACATTTAAATGATTGACATTTGTATATGATCGTTAAACGAGTATTGAGAGATATTGCTCTTGAACAGCATTAATTAAAACAAAATCAGCATTTTGAATACATGTATAAGGCCACACTGATTTTAATTTTATGAACTAATGCGAGAGGGCGAAAAAAAAATTTCTGCCAAAAAAAAAAAAAATCCTGCTAAAACCACAGGACTACAGAGCTGGTATTACGAATTGAACCACAGAACAGAGTGTATCAAAAAAACAACAAGAAGTCTATTTGTAGGAGGCACATGTTGATGTACACATCTCGTACTGTATTACTGTCACAGGTATAACCATTTCAGACAAGCTCTAGTGCATGTAGTCATGATGAAGAACCTTCAGTCAGAAACACTGCATTCAAGGTACAGCATGAACACCATATTCAGTACAAGTCAAGGCGGAATGTACATATCACTACTTTATGACAATAATTAACAAAACATTGCACTGTGCAAGCAAATTATCCGAATCAGAAAATGAAAAAAAAAATGAGAAAATTTTCTTCACCTCGAACGCGAACTTTGGTGGAGGAGCTTCCTCTGCTTTCATTGCAGTTTTGTCGACTTCAATGCGAACAAAGCAACCAAACTGACTTGTTGCCTGACCAACTTTTAGGCCACCATACACCTCCACTCCTCTCCTCTCCTATTTCTCTCATTGTTGCAGAAAAAACGCGCGACAGCCACTCTGGACAATATGTCCTTAAAGTTGTCTGGGCGAAATTCGCTTGCCGCTACCAACCCCTTGTATAGCTGTGTAAACGTCACATCTTCCTGGCCAACGTCAATTGCGTACCAGTCTACAACAGTCCCTCCGTTTTTCCTCTGAACTTTTATGCTCACGTATTTTTGTGGCATGGTCGCCATGTTGGAATCATTTACGACAAAATTGGACTGTTTTGAGGTAGTCCAAAACGAGTTTTACGACAAGCCGGCGCTTTGTGACAATATGAGTCAGCATATTCCGGACAGAAAACCAATCTGCGGAGACTCATCATCGGAGATTTTTTTTTTTTTTTCAGAACAGGCGAAAACTAATGCACGTGCGGATGTCATCCATAAAATTAAGTCAGTGTTGCCTAATGAATATATAAAATTTGAACATAGTCAGTCATAGCATGTCAGAAATATGGCTCTAGAAGCCCATTCATTAAAACAAAATGGCCACTAGTCAGCCATTCTGAAACCGTTATAAAAAATGAAATAACGCACATCAGGAACCCGTAATGTCTAATGTATGTACCAAGTTTGAACATAATCCATCTATAAATGCCAGAAATGCTTGATATTTGATGATTTTTTAGAACAAAAATGGCCACCATTCGGTCATTTTTAATAGGATTGTCAAACCAATATATCTGTATAATGAATATTTAAAATTTGAACATAATCAGTCACAGCAAGTCAGAGATATGGCACTAGAACCACATTCATTAAAACAAAATTGACGCCAGTCGGCCATTTTGAATTTTATTTGAAAAACAAAACGATGTGCATCAAGGTCCTATAATGTCCAACGTATATACCAAGTTTGAACAAAATCCATCTGTAAACAGCTGAGAAATGCTTGATTTTGATGATTTGTGCATATGTATAATGTATGTGTGAAGTTTGATTGTGATTGGTCCAGGCATTTCTAAGATACAAGAATTTGTGACAACTGTAAGAACCTATGTTATTGTATTCACCAAGGTTAATCTTAGCAGACCTGACTGATTACTTGTGTTATAACCTTGATTTTAATTTTAGCAAATTTTGCCTTTATCAGTGCAACATATTGTATTTACAATTCACAAAAATAAAATAATCTGAAGAGAGCACAAGTTGTTAACAACAAGTAGTTTTATTACTGCAACTGCATATCTATCTTTTCAACACACAAAGTTTCAAATTAATTTTTCTAGAAAATATGAGTAGCTTCAAGCCCAAGGAAATAATTACAATGCCATACCAGGAATGTCAACCCATGCACTAAATATAAAAACCCTTTATAGGATTTCAAATGAAAGCATTTCAGTGTTCAAACCAGTGGAATTAAATGCATCTTCTACGCATTCGTCAGAAGTGACTCCATTGCCTTGCCTACTTCATCACTACTCATATTGGCCAGTGAAACCTGCTTTTCTCTACCAAAATCTGCAAAAGCAAACAAATAATAGGCATTAGTAACAGTGCGCCCTCTATGGCAAAGATGAAAGCTATGGCTTGCGGGTCAAACTGAGGTCACCTATACAAGTTCTGTTTTTCGCATTGAAATCATCTCTGTAAAACCCTGTCTTAGCTGCTCCCCTTGGCGCTCACCACTACTAGTTTGCAAAAGAACCAATCAGAATGTCTCCAGCCCATAACCGAAAACCAATCAATCTACTCATATAAACTGACATTCTGTGCTCTTGTTTTGAAAACAGACACTGATTGGTTATTTACTTTCATGACATTTACTGATGAAAGTTTAAATTACACTTTCGAAATAAAGGCTTTGTTGATGTAATTTGTATGAGGGTGTTTAGAATGTAGTCAAAAAAATACTACTGCAAATTAATTTATTTTCACTAAGAATTTATTTTTACCAAAAAAGAAATGAATCAGTGAAAATAAAGCAGCCAAAATTCCAGATAAAATAAAATAAAATCAACTGTCATTTTCACCACCAGTCTTTGTCAGTGTAAACGTATATACACATTTGTTTATACATAACTTACCATATCTAGCAAACATTTTTGGTTGGACTCCACTACATTCTCTGATCATTACAGGAAATTTAGGGTTCTGTTTTTTTATAGAGACATAATTCTTTTCTATAAAATCTCTGCAAAAAAATGGGGAAATTTGATGATCAGTGTATATAGAACCCAACGATTTTTAGTTGGGATATGTAGTTATAAAGTTGATTAGATGATATGAAAATTTATTCCAATATTCAACAATGTGCAATTCAGTGTTGAGTGTAGAGTATATGTAGTGTGTTCAATATATCCGTACTTAACCACAATAATTCACATTTTAACATTGTTAAAGAACCAGTCATGCAGTACATGTTTGAATTTCATGTGAACAAACAATGTTTTGTACATGTGTTGTACAGTATAAGTTGCATGGGACACAACAAGTTATTTCATATTAATAGAATTTTTCCAAACTTCAAAGAATATGGTAACAACTGTAGCTTTATTGGAAGCTAATCTTGCATGTAAAACCAAAAAAATACATTTATGTTTACTGTGATTATACACACTAAAATTAATACAGCATAACTAATGGCAAGCCCTTTACTTACAATGGTTTTTAAATAGTTTTTAATTTCGCTAATCGAATTTAACAGAAAGTGTGATTGTTGTCACTTTAGTTAAATTATAATTCTGTTAATTCATGCACTGAGTCAAATTTGCTAAAATTGCACGTAGTTATGTGCCCTAAATAGTTAATGAACCCTATGACCTCGGTTTGAGACATTTTTGACTTCACTTCTGTTGATGCATCACCCCAATCAGATTTATTTTTGGCATTATTTTCTTGAATGGATTAATAACGATTCTATCGCCTCGTCCTCTAGTTATGTAACTAACGGTTGTTTACCTTTATAATACAAGTTATGATGCCGTATCATGTACGCCCGCCGCGGTGCGTACGTAATACGCGACAGAGCTGCTGCATTGTGCAAATAGTATTGAAAAAAATATTATAAAAACATTATGGAGAAGGAAAATAACCCACCTGGTACCTTGGCTCGATGGTGAACGTTGACACAGTGTTATTCTGACCTCTTTCACAAATGCAGGGAAGATTCTTCTTGCAGAAGCAGCCATTTTTAATCCGAACGTTACCGAAGGGGAAAATATCGAGATCGTGAATATTCGTGCCAATTTAGCCCGTTAAGTAAAACAGAACAAATATCTTCTCAATATTTTGCAAATAGTTTTATTTTTTTTAAATAGAGTTATACTAGAAGGCCATACTAGAATCAATTGCTTAATTATTTTCTGGCTTGTCTAATAATCATGTCCGGTATCTCCCATAATTCAAAGCGAGAGCGGCAGTATTCAAGATGGCGGCCTTCGAATGAATTTTTTCTTCGAAGTCTGTTTACATGTTGTTAACTACTAAAACGACTATATTTTCGTGCGCGTTGTATTAGTTTCGTTGATTTATTGTGTTAACTCGATCTATACTAAAATTAACGACGTGTATGTCCGTCAAATTATTCTCGCGTTGTCCAGAAACAAGACGACCAGGAAGTTTGACGCAGACAATAGACCGGCGGTACATCAAGGTTGTATGCAATACCAAGTGTATTTAAATCATGGACCAGTTCGAAAAAATAAAGAAGATCGGCGAGGGATCTTTTGGGAAGGCACTATTGGTGAAATCGAAAGCAACGGGAGAGTACAGAGTTGTGAAGGAAATCGGCATTTCAAAGGTGAAATTGAGTGGTTTATTTTGATCTTGTCCGATCGACTTTCATTTTTGAAGTTTGACTTGTTTTTGCTGTTCGATGCCAAATGTATGTCGATCAACCGTTTTATTATATTGCGTTGTTGATGAAGTGATAAATGTATATTCCTCGTACGAGAATGCGTTTATAACAACACGTTTATAGCACAATTACAAACAATCGTATATCAAAGTTCGTTGTTATGGTAATATTATGTCGGCATTTGTGTTTGTTCATTATTATTAATTAAAATAGTGTATGCAATTTTCTTTTCTCATCAAACGAGTGACTGATACATTTTAATTGTTACAACAATAATGCTGTTAACGCCCACATTGTTTATTAAATTAATTCAGAGGTTAACAATTAGAAGAAGATTAGTAAACAAAAGACAAATAAGTACTAGGCTTGATTAGTCTGCTAGTCTGTGAGCAATTTTCATTGGTTCTTTGAAGATTCAGATACAGATTGTTTTTCTACTTTTGTAGATCTCAGCTGATTTTATAATAATTTTATAATAAACATGTGCATTCTTTTATTTGTATTTTAGATGAACAGAAAAGAACGTGAGGAATCCAAAAAAGAGGTAATAAACACAATTATAGATGACAATAAGCTGAGTGTATTCTAATTAAGGAGGGTGAGAATTTTCTGCGGATTTCTAAGCCCCAGAGATCTATTTTTTTGAAATGTCTAAATCTAAAAAATTAGGGGGGGCGGGTAAGAATACAAATCTTGTTTATTCACCGGAAGTAAACACGCTGTCGGATCATTGTTGACGGTTGCAAGAGGCCTGTATCAGTGTATGGTCGAAGGGAGGCAACTCACAGCGTCTCCAATGCGTAATGTTCGCGACTCCTTTCATCAGTGCAATCGTAAAATCCGAAGTGGTTTTGAAGTGTTCGAAGTAATATGTAACCATTACCGTAATCCTTTGATCAATTCGACCATGAAAAAATTATTATTTTTGGGAGTGGCCGATTTATAAGAACAAAAACAGAAATTATTTTTTTGAGTGGTCGAATTATCAGAAGTATATATTTTGAATTGTCGAATTATAGGGGTATAAATTCTAGTACCGGTAACTGAACTGCAGCATTGAGAACGAAAAACAAACTACCACTTCAAGAACAGAACGCAACAGACACAGGGGCAGCGTTACATGTACCACCCACAGAGCTTGTCAAGTTTTGTAAACAATGTATTAGTTCGATCATGCCAGTTGTACGTAATTTGCAATAACAATAATAACACATACACTCACTCAATCTTTTTCTAGTACTATTTTTGTGGTACTGCTTAGCATATTTTGGAAGAGTGGGGATGGCCCTGAAAATGTTTTACTAACTTCAATTTATATAAAACGTCATGTCTAATCACTGCTGTAACTAGATAAACGGCAAGCAGTCAAAAAACATGGCAAGACATTGACGGACATTGGTGAATACTTCATAGTAATATTGGCTTGTAATACAAAAAGGAAAATCTCAATGCTAGCTAAATAATTGATTACATGATGTTTTAAGCCATCACAGGTCAATGTTGATCCAATGTTTCCTTGCAGACAACACAAGTTTGACTTTCTAAGACGCACTGTCTCAGTTCAAACGTGTCTACACTTTGTCTCCTCATTAGCATGTTTAAAATAAACGCGTCTCCACTTATATCCTCATTAGCATATTGGCAGTAAACAATAAATGCCTTTAGACAGACAAGCTGAATGATTGATTACGTTAGACCCCGTTCGGACCCAGTCCGAAAACGAGGACTTATGTTTTGACTCTCATGCGTCTGTGTTTCCCTCCGTGCATCCGTGTGTGCGTCCGGACCTGTATCTTAGAAATGCCTGGACGAATCATAATCAAACTTCACACATACATCATACATGATATTATACATATGCACATCAATTTGTTTCATGATCTGATTCAAGATGGCCGAATTGCGTCCATTTTTGTGCTAAAAAATCATCAAAATCAAGTATTTCTCGGCTGTTTACAAATAGATTTTGTTCAAACTTAGTATATACATTAGACATTATGTGACCTTGATTGCAAACTACTGTAGAATACTTTATTTTCGCTTAGAATTTATTTTCGCTATTTTCACTGAAGGGATGATTCCGTGAAAATAAAATCCAGCGAATATACTTTTTTCCCTATATTTCACATTAAACTCATGAAAAATCAGTGAAAATAAATTCCAAGCAAAACGCCCAAAAAGCCTTTTCAGCGAAAATTAATTCTAGCGAAAATAAAGTATTCCACAGTATTTTATTTTTCAGATAAGATTCAAAATGGCTGACTGGTGGCCATTTTGTTTTAATGAATGGGCTTCTAGACCCATATCTCTGACTTGATTTGACTGATTATGTTTAAATTTTTAATATTCATTATACATTATGTCATAGATATACAGATACATTGGTTTGACGATCCTATTCAAAATGGCCGAATAGTGGCCATTTTTGTGCTAAAAAATCATCAAATATCAAGCATTTCTGGCATTTATGGATGGTTTTCGTTCAAACTTAGTACATACATTAGACATTACGGGTTCCTGATGCACATCATGTTATTTTTCAGATAAGATTCAAAATGGCTGACTGGCGCCATTTTGTTTTAATGATTGGGCTTCTAGAGCCATATCTTTGACATGCTTTGACTGATTATGTTCAAATTGTATTCGTTATACATCATTTTATAGATATATATATATACATGTATTCTAAATGGCTGATTTTGTTTCAATTAATGATGTTCCAGAGCAATATCTCCCAATATAGACAAGTACTTGTTTGATGATCAGATACAAATGTCAATCATTTTAATGAACAATCATCATAATCATATTCCTGACATAGTTATATTCCAGCTATATTACTATAAACAAAACTTTATGTCTTAAATTTGATAACTAACAGGGACTGTGCCATGCATGGCTTGTTTTACAAGATGTTAGTGTGCAGCTATCAAACTACTACAGGCCCAGTGGTAGGAAAATTGTGGTTACTAGTTCATTTACATTAATTTTGTTTTTGTCAAAATTACCGGCAATCATAAATCACGCTGCATGCAACAGTGAAAGTGATTAGCATATGACACAAGTTTGACCCCACAAAGACGCACTTGGGTTTATCAAAGCTCACACAGTCAACGCCATTTCTGGAAGATTTAATTGTTTCTTTGTATGTAAAAGAGGGTGAAGTGACAGAATAATGCACAGAAAGGCAAACATAGTAAACTTGTTTTATTGTTATTTATTGCGAGAAACATTTGCTGGGATGATAGCAATTTGAATGCCCCATTTCCTGTGAGTGGCAGGACTAAAAGAGGAAAAACAAAAAAATATTTTTGCAGACAAAATTAGGTGGTCAAATTATAAGAGGGGTTGATTTGATAGAAGGATTACGGTAACATGATTGGCTGGGTTTGCTCTGATGGGCCAATCAGTAAAGAGCTTTGATTTTCTTTTCACCAACGGCACCATTTTATTGTTTCAATTGTTAGCTGCGTTAGATCATTGTTTACAAGTTTGATGCAGCGATAATGGTGAAATTGGTTACAAAAGACAATGAGTCAGCTGTGCGAGAGATCAATAAAGACATTAGGAACAAATTTTGTTGGGCATGGCTTGACAAAGAAGTGACTTTGAACGTGCGAATCAGGAAGAAAGATGAAGTGGTAACTGAAAAATTGAGTGACTTCACCGGCAAGTGCAAGGTCCCAGGAAAGGCGCAGTGTCTGTATTGTAACGATTTGATCAACTACGGTTCTCTGACCTTGGCTACTTTACTTTCAGATGAAAATTAAAACTCTCATTCTTATCCCTGAATAATAACAAGATATATGTAAAAATATTGTACAAAAAAATGTAACTGGTATTTAAATGTTGAATAAATCTTTTTGTTTTGTAAATATAATTGGCAAGTTCTATAATTATGCCAGGATCTTTGCTTGAGAGTATATATGTGAACTGTATATTTTTATTGTTGGATGAAAGTAGTGTCATAACTTTTTGGATGAAGTTTTCCCTGTGTGTGTTGTCCTTCGGGCAATTCAATAAAAAATGTTCTTCATCTTCAATTGAATTTGTGTCACAGTTATTGCATATTCTTTTGTTCATAGGTTTCCTAGGAAATGAATATCTGCCTTCCTCTATCGCCAAGTTATGGTTTCTAATTCTAAATTTTGTCAATATTTCCCTCTTATGAGTGTCAAGTTCATTCAAATATGGCTCAAAGATGTATTCTGTTTTAAATTTAGCATGTGTTCTCAGTTTGCATATGTTCTTTGGAAATCATTTCTTTCCAGGAACTGGTATATTTATTTTAAAGAGAACTTTTTAAAATTTGATTTTTTTGTTTGATAGTGAGTGTTTTTCTTTTATGAAGTTTAGTGAATTGTCTTTCAATAGTTGCGTTCATGCACAGCTCCTTAGCACGGGCTAAGAGGTCAAATTCCTTAGAACATGCGTGAACGCTTAGCACAGGCCAAGGAATGCTAAGTACGGGTTAAATCTGATATGAATTTAAGACGTGGCCTGGACCCATAGCACGGGCTAACGAAGTGT